TGAACACTGAGACACTGAGATACCAAGCACTGAGCACTGAGACACCGAGAACTGAGACAACGAGCACTGAGACACTGAGCAACTAAGACACCGAGCACTGAGCACCGAGAGACCGAACACTGAACACTGAGACACTGAGCACTGAGATACCAAGCACTGAGTACTGAGACTGAGCACTAAGCACTTGAAATATCGAGCACTGAGCACTGAGACACCGAGCACCGAGACACCGAGCACTGAGCACTGAGACACCGAGCACCGGGCACTGAGACACCAAGCACCGGGCACTGAGACACCGAGCACTGAGTACTGAGACACTGAGCACCGAGCACTGAGCACTGAGACACTGAGCACTGAGACACCGAGCACTGAGACACCGAGCACTGAGCACTGAGACACTGAGACACTGCGCACTGAGGAGCACTGAGACACCGAGAACTGAGACAACGAGCACTGAGACACTGAGCAACTAAGACACCGAGCACTGAGCACTGAGACACTGAGACACTGAGCACTGAGACATTGAGCACTGAGACACCAAGCACCGAGCACCGAGCACTGAGACACTGAGACACCGAGCACTGAGACACTGAGCACTGAGCACTGAGACACAGCACTGAGCACTGAGCACTGAGATACCAAGCACCGAGCAGCTGCTGGGGGCTGCAAGCCTCACATGGCAGTGGCCAGGCCGGGCCTGCGCCCTGGCCAGGGATGGACAGTTGATGAAGAAGACAGCATGGGGCCAGCAGGTGTTGTAGTGGCTAAGGCACTGGACTCTCACTAGCGGACCACAATTCACATCCCAGACCCGTCAGCTTGAAAACCGCATTGCGTACTCTTGTGTGCGTGTCCAAAATCCTGAGAGCAGGAGGAGGAGGGATGGCCATGTGGTCATCCCCCGGGGGGTGATTCCTCCACCACAAACTACTCCTCTGTGCCTATTGGACGAGTGTGCATGCCCTGTGGCAAAAACCTTACAAAAAAAGAAGACAGACATTACTGCCACTTTGCAGAGTGGACCCCACATGGCAGCATGGTTCGAATCCCCAGCCCGGTCAGCCTGGAATATGCCAAGCGCCCACATGAGTGCTCAGGATCCCACTGGCGGGAGGGAGGAGACCGTGGAGACCCAGCCCTCTCCCTCTTCCTCCCCTTCTCCCGCTCTATTGTGAATAAAGAAATAGCAGATGCTGACCATGGAGTATGGGGCCTGCTTTGCAGGACGTTAGGGAGGCCTCTCCGAGGAGGTGGGGTGAGATTCAGTGAGATACGACCACCCTCAGCGACACTCTACAGTCACGGATAAAACCTGCCCACCCCACTCCCCCGCCCCCTGCACCATTACCACTCCTACTTACAGGCCCCGAGGCCCAGATAGGGGGCGCTGGGCTGCACCCAGGCTGCGTGGCTTCAGTCCCACGTGAGTATGCATGGGGGCCTGAAGAGGGAAGAGGGAGGATGGCGGTACCTGAGGGGCTGCAAGCCAGCCCTGGTGGGGAAATCTGCTCAGATTCCTGGTCCCAGCAAATAGGCTGGGATGGGGGAAGTGGGACTTGCTAACTGCTGGTTCCCTGTTATTAATGAGAGAGAGATAATTTTTTTTTAAATGCCAGAGTGCATGTGCACTTGCCAGAGAGAGAGAGAGAGACCCCACAGGGGCCTGGCCACATCTCAATCCTTTCTCCTGCACTTCTCCATCCAGTCAGGACTTCAGGGGCATGCACACATACATCCGCCAGTGTTTTTTTCAAACTACCAGGGCCGGGATTCAAACACACTAGCCATGAGGGATCCGACTCCCTTAACCTCTGTGCTACGGGGCCAGCCCAAGAGAGCAACTTCAGGGACCAGCAGTTAGCGTAATGGCTATGTTGTTGGATTCCCACGTAGTCAACCGCGGTTTGTGTCCCAGACCAGGCAGCTTAAACTTACGCCAGGCGCGTGTGCGTGCGTGCCCAAGATCCCGTCTCTCTGGCCCTGCGAGGGTGGGAGGTCGAAGGTCAAAGGCTCACCCAGGAACCCGACTTAGAGAGCAGAGGTAGTGAGTGAGATGAGCACAGTAGGTGCTCACTCCACAAGATGTAATGAGCACCTACTGTGTGCCAGGCCCCACAGGTGCACCAGGGAACCACAGAAAGCAGGAAAGGTGACTTCTCGAAGCTCCTGCTCCGTGCCTGCTACTGTGTCATGAGTAAGCCGGGCCTGGCCCATACCGTGGGCTCCCACTGCAGACCGGGGGTGGACAAAAGAGAGAGGGCCCAGGGCCAGCAGACAGCGTGGTGGTTGAGGGCGTGGGACTCCCACTTGGCCAACTGCGGTTCAGGTCCCGGACCTGGCAACTTGCTGGATTGCTTTCTCACTCTCTCTCTCTCTTTCTCTATCTCCCTTCCCCTCTCTTGCTATGTCCTTCTCTGGCAAATTAAAATCATAAATAAACAAATAAAAAAGAGAGAGGGCCCAGCAGATGGCATAGAGGTGCTCTCACTGGACTCTCACATGCCTGACTGTGGTCTGAGTCCTGGACTTGGTGGCTTGAAAATCATGCCGGCCATGTATGCGTGCATGCCCAAGACCTTAGGAGGAGAATGGAAGAGAAGGGATTGTGGCATGGCCATCCCCCCGGGGGGGTGATTTCTCACTTTCTGTCTTTTTCTCCATGGTGAATGCATGCGCCCTGAAAAAGAAAAAAAAAAGAAAGAAAGAAAAAAACTGCTCAAAAGAGAGATGAGGAGCCAGAAGGCGGCGTGGTGGTTAAGGCACTGGACTTTCATGTGGTTGACTGCGGTTCTAGTCCCAGACATGGCAGCTTTCAAGCTGGGCATGAATATGTGGGTACCCCAAATCCCGAGAGGAGAATGGAGGAGAAGGGATTGAGACATGGCCATTCCCCCTGGGGAGGTGATTTCTCACTTTCTCTCTCTGTCTCTGTCTCTCCAATGAGCACATGTGCCCTATAGCAAAAACCTCTAGAAAAAAAAGAGAGAGACGAAAGCCCCTGCTGTTATAAACCAGGTGCGGATATTCAGGCTGCTACCCCCAAAGCCCCCGTGCTGAGCCGTGCGAGGGTCAGGGCTCAGTGCGGCTGTGGTGGGGCTGACCGGCTGGGCGAGGGCCAGTCTGGCCCCAGGGAATCCAGGGCCCCACCCTCCACTAGTCACCAGGGCTCACGTCAGAATCTGACCCTCCACCCTGACCCCACTCACCTTGGCCTAAGCACCCACAAGCGCCTTAACCTGGGAGAGGCCCACCCCGCCTGCCCTGCGCTGCCCTCTGGACTCACGCCCTGGGCCCTCTGGAGGCCAGGTCTTGCTAGACCCGGGCACTATGCAGGACAGAGTCTGGGGTCCAGGTGGGCTCGGGGGACACTTTTCTGTGCTACAGATCTAGGAAACCCTGGTGGGGAGAGAAACTGTTTAAAAGGAGCTTAAGGGGAGTGACAACTCCAGCCCGGGGATGCTTCCCTGGCCGGCCTCCTTTCCTGGCCTCAGGTCCTTGGCACGTGCGATTCCTCTGCCTGGACTTGGTTCCCTGCAGATGAACGTGTCCCCGGCATCCAGGTCTTAGCTCGAACCCTCCTGGGCTGCTGGGAGGCCAGGCCGCGGGTTGGAACGCCCCTGTAATCTGTTCCGTTGTTTGTGGCCCCTCCTCCACTGCTCCCACAGAAACGCTGGCTCCTGAGGGCAGGGGCTCAGTCCCTCTTGTCCCCTGTGGGCCCCCCAGAACTGAGCACGTCTCACAACAGAGGTGCACAGTGCACACTAGGCTGGCCTAGCCACTGTCTCCCCCGCCCCCCCGGGCATCCTTGTGCCACTTTGACAGAAGGGGGCCCCACCGCCACGGTGGAACCTCTATCTGCCCCACTGTGCGTCCTGCCGTCCTGAGACCAGCCCTCGGGGCAGTTGGCCACACGTCACGGCTGCACCATCCTCACCCAGCTGCCAACAGTGTCCAACTGGGCCTGCTGCAAGAGTCAGCCTCCCCTCCCTCCCCGGGAGGCCAGGGCTGTGCCTGCACAAAACCTGGGGCCTCCAGGAGCCCTGAGGAGCTCTAGCCCGTCCCCAAGCCCCCCTTCACCCATGCGCGGGGACATCCGGGCCACCTTTCTGCCCCAAGATCTGCCCAAGCCACTGCTCACGGCCCTCTGGATAAAGCGTGGCTTTCAAGGCCCCCAGAGCTGTGCCCGGTCCACACCGCCTCCCTGGCTGCTGCCCAAGTGCGCCCCACTCCAGGGGCAGCCAGCCCCCGGTCCGCAGTCTCGGACCGCCCTCCCTGCACTGGGGTCTTAGTCCTCTGCCGCCCTGTGTGGGCTCTGGGCAGGGCGGTTTCTCGCTCTGCACCCCACAGGCCTGCCTGCAAACGTCCACGGAGTGAGCAAGCAGGTCCCGTTTAAATCATCGATGCTTACTGAGCTCCTGGTGGTGTCAGGCCCCTATCTGCCAGCTGGCCGGCCCTGTCCTCGCGAAGCTCGTCATCCAGTAAGATGAGCCGATGACGAGCCTCATCACCTAGGGAGGGCAGGAGGTGGTCGGGGACTGTGCATGGGCACGAGAGCCCGTCACAAGAGCCCGGGCACCTGTCCCCGTCTGCGAGCTCACAGTCCAGGCCAGACAGGCCAGAAGGCATGGCACGTGAAGCTGGGGACACAAACATGGCATCCCAGGGTCCCCACCCAGGCCAAGCCACCAGGCTGGGATGAGCAGAGGTTCCTGGGGGGGCGGAGGTGGGGGGAGCCTGAGCTTCTCCTTCCCTTTCTGAGGGCCCCTCCCGTGGGACCCCAGCGCCACCCGGGAAGCCAATTAGCCCCGGTGACAGCGGTGGGGATTATTATGATTCCGAGCTCCTGGATCGCCCGGGTGCCGAGTCAGCAGGCCTTAGGGATAGAGGTCACTTAATAAGGGCCTGGGGGGGTGGAGCCCGTTGTCGTGCATCGGGAGCCTGGTGGCCGTGCTCAGTCCTCCCGGCGTCGTCAGTTCGAGCAGCTGCGCGGGGCCGCAGCCATGAACGGCACGGAGGGCCCCAACTTCTATATCCCCTTCTCCAACGCCACGGGCGTGGTGCGCAGCCCCTTCGAGTCCCCGCAGTACTACCTGGCCGAGCCCTGGCAGTTCTCGCTGCTGGCCGCCTACATGTGCCTGCTCATCGCGCTGGGCTTCCCCATCAACGCCCTGACGCTCTACGTCACCGTGCAGCACAAGAAGCTGCGCACGCCGCTCAACTACATCCTGCTCAACCTGGCGGTGGCCGACCTCTTCATGGTGTGCGGCGGCTTCACCACCACGCTCTACACCTCCCTCAACGGCTACTTCGTCTTCGGGCCCACCGGCTGCAACCTGGAGGGCTTCTTCGCCACCCTGGGCGGTATGGGCGGAGGGGCGGGCGGAGCGTGGAGGGCTGCAGGGTGGCGGTCTAGAGCGCATGCGCCCTCCCAGTATCGCCCGGCGTGGTGCAGACACGTGCATTCGGTCCCAGAACGCTGGTAGCGACGGCAGGGCGGGCTGCGGGCCTCGAACACAGCGCTGACCTCACTTGGAGCACGCAGTTGTTTTACAGCGCGGGACTTGGGGGTGCAGAGGGGCTGGGTTTGGGGCACACTGGACACTGAGGGAGCTGGGCGGGACAGATCCCTGAGCTCCGGCCGGCCCAGGGCGGGAAGCGATTCTCAGCCCCGCAGCCACTGGGTTTCGGGGTCAATGGGCTCCCGCCTCGCAGTCTCCAGCCCAGGAGCAACCCCAGGGCCATGCCTGTATGCCTTTGGCACTGCCCTCACCTCCTAAGAAGCCCTTCGTAGAGGCCTTAGGTTGCTGGGGACCTGTAGCCTTGAAATGCATTCAGGGGGCAGCAAGCTGCACGGTGGTTAAAGCGCTGGACTCCCACATGGCCAACAGCGGTTCAAGTCTCTGACCAGGTGGCTTGAAAGTCATGCCAGGCACGTGTGTGTGTGCCCAAAATCCCAAGAAGAGAATATGAGAGAAGGGATGGCAGCATGGCCATCCCCTGCCCTAGGCGTGATTTTTCACTTTCCCTCTCTGTCTCTCTGTCTGTCTGATGAGCACACGTGTTCTACGGCCAAACCCTGAGAAAGGGAGAGAGAGGTTCCTGGGGCGAGCCTGGGCCAGACATGTGGGGGCTTCTCACTGGGGTGGGGGGATACATTCAACAATTTCCTTCTGTTTGACTGGAAAACTGGGCTGCTGCTGGTCTCTTTTTTTAAAAAAAAAAAAAACTTTTGGGGGGGGCAGGAGAGGTTTTTGTTATAGGGTGCATGCTCTCGCCAGAGAGACAGAAAGTGAGAAATCACCCCCCAGGGGGGATGGCCATGCAGCAATCCCTTCTCCATTCTCCTCTCGGGATCTTGGGCACACACGCACACGTGCCCGGCGTGAGTTTAAGCCACCGGGTCCGGGACTTGAACCGTGGTCAACTACATGGGAGTCCAGCGACATAGCCATTACACTAACTGCTGGTCCCAGTGCTAGTCTCCTTTAACAGGATGGAAAAGCAGAGGCAGGAGAGGGACAGACTCTTCTAAGGGTGTGGCAGGGATCCGACCTGGGTCTCCTGGATCAGCCCTGGAATGTCTCTGGGAGACCGGGAGGAGAGGGAGCCCTCAGGGTGATGGCGGGTGCCCTGCTCACCACAAGGCTGCTGGGCCCCCCATCCTCTCCCTCCCTCACCTCCAGGACATTGCCACACCCTAGGGAACCTCTGGCCGTGGCTGGGTGTTCATTACCTTCAACCATCACCGATCACCCAGCCTCTAGCCAAGGTGGGAGGTAAAAGGGGTTTTCCACAGGTTCATGGAAAATGAACGTTAAAAAAACACTGGGCATGAATTTCAAACAGTTTAAAAACGCACCAAAATAAATGAGTATTGAATTTCATTTTCCATGATTTTTTAAAATTATTTTGGCTGTAGGGCCTGTGTGCTCACAGAGAAATAGAGACAGAGAGACAGACAGTGAGAAATCACACACACCCCCAATCGGGGATGGCCATGTCGCAATCCCTTCCTCCATTCTCCTAGGATCTGGGGCATGTATGCACGTGTTCCTGGTATGAGTTTCAAGCCGTTGCGTCTGAGACTCGAACTGTGGTCGGTCACGTGGGAGTCCAATGCCTTACCCACCGCACCACCTGCTGGCCCACTCCATAAACTTTTCCAAGTCCCCTTGTACAGATGGACTACCATGCAGGGCTGGGCCCAGTTGTAGAGAGTCATCCTGGAATAACAGTAGTGCCGCCTTCACGCACAGACGTGTCCCACAAAGGTTGACAGTCGCATGGCCACCCCCTCTGCTGAGCTGCTTGGGGTGACACACGGGGCAGGTGTCTGAATTCTGTCATTGTCTCCTCCTGCCTTGGGACATAACATTCCTTAGGCTTCACGGCACCAGGAACAGGCGGTTTGCTTTCCTCGGGCGGGAGCTGGAGGGAAGGGCTTCCAACTGCACCTGCAGCCCTCCCTGCGTCCTTCCATGGAGCTCTGCCCATGGCCCCGTGGAGGGCCATTTATGTGATTCTGTAAAAACTCCTATAGAGGGACCAGCAGTTAGCCTAATGGCTATGTCGCTGGACTCCCATGTAGTCGACCGCGGTACGAGTCCTGGACCCGGTGCTTAAACTCACACCAGGTGTGTGTGCGTGCGTGTCCAAAATCCCGAGAGGAGAATGGAGGAGAAGGGATTGCAGGTGATTTCTCGCTTTCTGTCTTTCTGTCTTTCTGTCTCTCTCTTTCTGGCGAGCGCACGCGCCCTATAGCAAAAAACTCTCAAAAAAAACCCTCCCTGTAGTGGTTGGGGCACTGGACTCGCACATGGCCTGCTGTGGTTCAAGTCCTGAATCCAGAGGCTTGAAAATCACACTGAGCACATGTGTGAGTATGCCCAGGGTACCGGGAGAAGGGTGGCTCTTAAAAAAAAACTTCTTGGGACCAGCAGTTAGCATAATGGCTATGTCAATGGGGGGGAGGTGGGGGTGGTGGTGGTGATTTCTCGCTTTCTGTCTCTCTGTCTTTCTGGCGAGCGCACACGCCCTATAGCAAAAACCTCTGGGAAAGACAAAAAAACAAAAACAAAAACAAAAACACCTCCTTACAGAGTTCAAGTCTAGTCACGCCCAGATATCTGATTTCAATGTCGCTTGGGAGCCCGGAGGACTAATGAGCTAAACTTCCCGTCCCTCCTGGGGGTAGGGGGCACCGCCGGGTGGGGCGCTGACACCGCCGCCTGCCCTGCAGGTGAGGTCGCCCTGTGGTCCCTGGTGGTCCTGGCCGTGGAGCGGTACGTGGTGGTCTGCAAGCCCATGAGCAACTTCCGCTTCGGGGAGAACCACGCCGTCCTGGGCGTCGCCTTCACCTGGGCCATGGCCCTGGCCTGCGCCGTGCCGCCCCTGGTCGGCTGGTCCAGGTACTGGCTCGGAGCAGCGGGGGCTGCCCCAGGGCTCCTCAGAGGGCCTCCTGGTCGGGACTCCGACTCCAGCTGCCTCCTCCAGGCAGCCCTGGCCCAAATGCCCACCCTGGCGACACCCCCAGGTGGAGGGCTGGGGCAGGGGGAGAGGACGGACCTCTGAGCCCGTGTCAAGGGGACCCCGAGACGCCCCAACCCGTCACCTTGGCCAAGCCCCTAATCCTCCATTAAGCCAAGGCCGCACTCCAATCCGCTTTGGCCCAGTGCCCCGTGGCCCCCTGCCCCGACCTTGCCCTCACCCCCCGGGGAGGTCAAGGCTTCCTAGCGTAGGTGGGGACACGTGGCCCTAAGGACTGGGTCCTGTCTACTGGCCAGACCACTTTCTCCAAACGGGGCTGAGATGAGAGGACAGGACAGTGGTTCGGACACCCAGGCTGGTGGCACTAGTTCTGTCACCCCCTGTCCTTTTGCTTCCAGAAGTTCCATTCTGTCCCCCGTCCTCCTCTCTGTCTTCCTGGGGTCCGTTTCTCGGGCTTTGCTGAGACTCCCCACACCCTGCCTCCTCCCCGTCCTCCCCAGTCTGGCTGTGACAGCCCTCATAGTGACCAGCGGACACTCGGCCATCCTGAGGTCGGTCCTCAGAAATCATGGACCAGGGACCAGCAGATGGTGTAATGGCTACGTTGCTGGACTCCCATGTAGTTGACCGCA